TAGGCCAGTTCACTTCACTGAAAACACTTCTTTCAGTGCTTTAGGTAGAGTTACTGATAATAAATGGCTTTTTAACATTCAGCTTTAGAGTGTTTAAATACTTTTATTGGACATGCAAGTGTGGGACACAGGAAAATAGTGAATGCAGTTAGTGTGTTCAGAAAGCTTTTATTTTCATTGTTTAGTGTAAAGATGTAGAAGGTCTGTTTTAGAAAAATGCCTGAGAACTCACCTTATAATATTGATGGAGTAGTAATTACTGGTTGTTTTTTTGAGTGGGTAAGAGAATTAGTTAAAATGCTCCTGGGCGGGTCATACTGGTGAAGTTTGACTCTGTCTCTTTGAAACAATACAAGCGAAGCCACACTAAAAGAGCAAGTGCAGCAGAAGGGACCTGACGAAGACAACTTCTGTCAGCTCTTGGAGAAGGATCTGGGTAGTTCTGAGGTCACCAAACAATTCCTTTGAGCTGATTTTTAAGTTGCAAGAGGACAGTGGCTAACACTGATGAACTTGGTTTTGCCAGTTAAATCAGATTCTTTTGGGGCAGGAGAGAAGGAAAAGGACATAAAAGCTGCTGGAAGGTGTGACAGTGGGACTCTAATACTGGTGTTTGGCACTTAGCATAGCCTAAATCTCATTCCATCTTGTTTGATCTGATGGGAATAACAGTCTGGCTAAGGATTATCAAGGGCTGACATTGAGTGGTTTTGGGTGCTGCTTTTAGGGTAAAGCTTCTCCCTTTCATCTCTCTGGTTATCTCTGTAATCTTTTTCAAGGGCTTTTTCAAAGCAAGGAGATAAGTCAGAGAGGGATAGCAGTGTTACCATCTGGATAATAATGCCAACCCACAACTTCACCAAGAGGTGTCAGAGCTTTCTAAGTTAAGCAGGTCAATATGGTTTTTCTATTTTCAGCTCTTGATGACTTCAAAAAACGATTTGGGCCCAACAAACTTTGAGGAGTATATAGAAAGGAAAAGACAGGGACACTGGTGAGTGGAAGGGGAAGAATTTAGTTACAGTAAGAAAACTGTCGCAGGAGTTTCTCAGCTGTTTTTTTAATACAAGGGACTATTCTTTGTAGCAACTAACTAACATCTGACATATTTACTGATAACTGCTGACCAGAGTACTTGATTACTGACCTGAGTGGAAATGTGAAACACCTCTGACTCTTCTGAAGCATCTCCCCTCATTGTGATGGCATCCGTGAGCCTTGTTTGCCTCCATCTCCCACCTGCTGCTCAGTTTGCTCATCACATGTGATTGCCACAAGAGGCCAGTTCATGTAAAAAGCACACTTTCCTGATGTTTCATTCCCCTCGTCTACTTCTTCTCTTTAAATCTTGGGATTTAAAATGTACCTGTGGATGTGCATTATCTCTCTGCCATTCATCATGCTGATGGCCTTTGCTGAGAGTGAGGTGGGCTGCACCCAAAGCACTTTCTGGATGCAGCAAGCAGTTTTTTAGTTATTGCTTCTTTCCCTGTAGACCCTGTGCTGATCCCCCAGGACCATTGGGAAGGAGCAGGCTGAAGGTTTGCAGGGTGCTGACCAGGTGCAAAAAGTCAGCTTTATTTTGGCTAGATAAAATAAATATTCTTTTCCTGCCTTTCTGGCTGCAACAAGGGATTGCTTCTCTCTTGCTGTTTGTTGATGTGCAAAAAATTCAGTGACTCCTCACAGCGTGTTGGTACCTGGTGTGGACCACTCAGCAGTAGCTCACTAGTAAGTTATCAAAACTGTAGAGCTCTCAAGTGCACTAAGGCCAACACTAGGGACTGTTTCGGTGCTCAGTCACTTTATTCTTCTGAAGCCTCTCAACTTTCCAGTAATCCAGTCCATCCTCCTTTTGCATCCCTTCAGTCTCAGACAATATGCCCTGGGCTTCAGCAAAGAGCATCTCTGAAGTCCAGCTGCTGCCTGGGGACATCAGGAGCTGTGGTGGGTGGTGGGCAGCTCCTCAGGCCTATGCTTGTTTCATTTCCATCCTGTGCTCAGAAGGAAAGCTGCCTCAGGTTCTTTGGTTGCATAGTTGCTTCACTCTCTCCCTGTCAAACTCTATTAGCAGGGAATGCATGAGGGGACACCCAACTCCTCCTGTTGTGCTCTGGCAGTGAAGCTGATGGATCAGCACCTCGATTTGATGGGGATGGGAAGTGCTGGCAGGAGCAGGTGCAGCCCCAGGACCAGCTCAAGGGGCCAGGCTGTCATTGCTGTCACTGGCTTCTCGGAACCCAAAGCTCAGACTCCTCTCTTCAGCAAACTGAGCACAGGCTCTTGGCCTCAGGAGCATCTTCCACTTGTTAATAACTGAACTTTGTTGGAAATTCCCAGCAGTGCTCTGACACAGCTGGGTTTGAGTCATTGAGGAAGGGTCAAGCTTTACTCACAGGCAACCAAGTGTATTGTGACCCTGCATCCTCCTTCCATCTCTTCTGCTTTGCCAGGTTTGGTGCACTCATCTGACCCTACCCAGAGCTGCAGCACCACACGGGGATCTTGGCTGCTCCTCTCTTAACATATTATTCCAGGAGGAGCCTCTCTATGTGTGAAACATGGGCTGAATCTCACTCTTTAGTGCTTCTGCTTTCCTTAAGCCTTGTCTAATTAAATGCCTATTTACTGCCTATTGCCTCCAGCTGCCAGCAGGCACGTATGGGTGAGCAGTGCTGCCTTCAGTCCATGTACTCTTTGGGTAGGAATGGAGTGTTTCACCAAAAGCTCATCTTTTGGGAGTAGCAGCAAACATAAATCCCGCTCTGCCTCAACAGCCCACCATCTTCCAGCAGTTTATGTGTATTTATAGGCACAACACTGCAGTTGCTCTGTGTTACCATCTCCCTCAACCCCTGTGACCCCCGCTCCCTTCACCAGATGTGCCTGACAACCATCTTCCTTCCCACAATGGGACTGGGAATGTTCCTGTCGTGTTACCAAAAGCCAGTGGCCCCTCTCCCTGGCAGAGCAGCTGCGCTGGTGTGTCCTGCACATCCATGAAGGAATGCACGTGACAAAACTCAGGACTGCCCCCCCACTCAGTGACCCAGAGTGACGTTTGCAGCTGCTCACGTTAGCAGCAGGATCTGCTGCCCTGTGGGATGGTGCCTGGGAAGGGCTGTGATGACGCTTTGTATTAGCACTGCTGCTGTCACCAACCAGAACAGGAACAGCCAAGTACCAGGAGCTGTCTTAAGTCTCAACTTGAAGTGGGGTCTGTGGTTTGTGCATGTGTTTTCCTAATGTTACGCTTTTGCTGTAAATAGCACAAATGTAAAAAGAGTTTTAGAAGAAAACTCCAAGATTATTTTATCTGTTACACAAAGAAATAGGAGAAGCAAAAAAGGAGAGGAAAATTAAATTAGAAGCCATATTTACATGTGGCAAGACTAACTTCGCCTACTTAATGAGACAGTAAACTGGAATCTGAACAGATCAGCAAAGTCTTTGTTTTACAAATATGCTGTCATTCAACAATACTGTGTACTAGAACGTTGGCTAAAAGGTGGCTCTATGTTGTAAAGCAAGTTATGTACAGACGTCATCACAGTTGCCCCCTTTAGCTTTGCAGTGTTTTATTTGTGCGGTTCACACAAGAGGACCCTATGGGTGACACCCTGTGACAAGGTCTAAGAAAGCCACATCCAGGCTGCACCTCGCAGGCACGCTGTCTGTGGTGAGCACAGCGTTTCCCCGAGGACCACGGCAGTTCAAAAGGCTGTGCCAGGAAATCACCTGAGGGCACCGCAGTTGTTCACCAGTGCCCCAGTTTTCATGCTCCAAGTTGCACTCTCGGCGTCTGCAGCAGCTGGGGACTATTCTCTCCCTTTCTAAAGGTTGCCACTGTGCCCGAGTCTGTGCGTCAGAGCTGTCATTTCAAGCCATCTGCAACGTGCTGCTGCTTATTTAAATGTTAACTTGTTTCTCCTCAAAACATGCAAGAAAGGAGAAAAAGATCATGAAACAATTATATAGAGCTTTGCAAGGCCTTTCTTGCTCACTTCCTTCCACAGAAACAAGTAAGGACCATCTGATGAAAATTCTGCAGGAGGGAAGAAGGCAATTAATTTCAGTTGCAGATCCTGAATTTACTGAACTTAATTGCTTTAGCTACTCTTCTTTTTTTTTTTTTTCAGTGGTGCACTGGAAGCTTATGTTCAATCAGTCAGAACAAGAGAGGGGAAGGAATTTGCACCAGTCTACCCCATAATGGTTCAGCTGCTGCAGAAAGCCATGTCAGCCCTTCAGTGAGCACACTTGGATAACACTCTCGACACATGGAATGGACACGTTCACAGTCGGGGGTCTTTGGTGCCACAAATGTATTTACAGTTCATGTAAATTATTCCCAAATACAGAAGCTTTACAATGAAACGTGTTTACCTACTTCATCTCTGAAACTTGTCTTCTTGCTTTACTTTCACATTACAGGAACTTATACAGAAATATTATAAGGAAATTGTACAACTTTTATGTGCTGTAAGTCTACATCTAATTGAAACATTCTTAAGCATTCCTTTTGAATTTAGAAAAGTGTAAAATTAGAAGTCAAATATTACAGTATAATTGCTGAATATCTCAAATAAGGAAGCAGCTCTTTTCCTACAAGTATGGTTTTAAACAGTTGGATACATTTTAGCCTTATTCAGAAAAGTGAACTTCTGAAATGCTAGAATCATCAGTTTCCATCTAAAAATCACTAATTTTAACAGAAGGAAAAATATTTATAACTAACCTAAATGATTCTCTATTGCACTGCTACTTACTTAGAAATAATTTATATTTATTTCAACTCTCTTTTTGCTTAAACTGTAATAAAGAACATTGACTATTGAATCTGGAAATCAGTATTTGAAATTCTTCAACATCTTCCTAATGGCAAAGCATAAAAATATACTTTGGATGGGTTCATCTAAAGACTTCCAGGCAGAACATGCTCACTGCTGCAGGGCTGAAATAGTGATTGGTCTTCTTCATTTTATAAAATACACAACACCAAATTTTAATGAATTTATTTGAAATAATATACAAGAATATAGTGTGCAAAAATCTTAGGGGCAACATCATGTAGACGTGTCATAAACTGAAATTTACAGTTGTGATTCTTAAAAAAAAAACAACGCACAGCTGTTTAGTACAGGAAAAGCCATGATTGTAAAAGTTCACAGCAGAAGCAAATTGTAATCCTAATGCAGCTGCTCTAATTTTAGACAGTTGGAGGAAAAAAAAAGTAAAGTGCAAGTGTTGCACGTATAGTTAAGTGCAAAGTTTGCCCCCACCATAAAGATGTCTTATGGCAAAATAAAATATTGTAGAATATGTGGCAAAGACAAAACACAGAGTTTTAACTATTATGGTGATGGTATCAACAGCACCATTTTTCTTGAGATAACGTTATTTTTTCATTCATCCTCTCCCAGGCCACTGTTTCCACCATGAAATGACAGCTCTCACTAGTGCCAGCTGATGCAAAAATATCTCCCTTGTGGATACAGGTTTTATAAGTGGCATCCCAAGCAGCAGCTCCTTTGCTACATCACACCATGCTCTCCATTCCCACACGTTCTGGTAACTTGCTGGCAGTGGGGCAGGCTGGGAAGCTGGAGACTGATAATACACTTTGCCATTTCAGAAAACCCCAGGCCCCAGAATTGCAATTAATAATATGGTTGTGCAATACATATTAATCAGCAATAAGAATCAATGTATATAAACAGCTGTTACATATTTTAAAATTCCCCTTTTTGTACATTTTCTTTTAAAAATAAACATTTATACACATCTCCTTCGCCTCTTTCTAAAGTACTTTAGCACCACAGGATATCCATTTTCAAGCCTATATTACCTGATACATATATGAAGTTTGGAAGAAAAATAAGGCAATTTGGTTTAAAATGCTGATAGTTTTAGCTTACTTAATGTTCTATTGTAAAAAGCAAATCTGCACTCAGATCATTTCCGACTTGATGGTGCCAGTATTTTATGGTCACACAGAGTCACAAAAAATAGTAAGACCTTGATCTTTTGCATCTTCTTGCCATTGAGCAACAGCCATTTTGCAAACACAGAGTTAACAGAAAAATTCTGGCTTAATGCTGTTGTGAGCCCTGAGAAAAGAGAAGAGAAAACCAGGTTAGCAGTTACCAAGCAAAGGGGAAGCAGATCTAACCTTAAAACTAGCAAACACTTGTTCTGAAAGCCACAAGTACTTTTCACTGGTCAGTTATTCAGAAGAAAACAAAAAGGCCAAAACCAGACATCAAGACTTCTCTGTCACAGCCTGGAGTCCACCAGCCATTAGTAAGGTAACCAAGCTGCAAACACTTCAGTTCACTGAATTAAATAATTTAAAAAGGCATTTCCTGATGTAACACTGAGGTTCTACAGATCCTGTTCTCTTGGCCTGAAGCCCCTAAGGACAAGGAAAATCCTACTACAAGGCAGTGTAAGAAAGCCATCCTTCCTACTGAGGCCAACTCATCACTACTCCTCTCAGCTGCAGAAATGCCTCTGAGTTGCCTGAAGCTTACAGGTGAGTGTGTGATCTCACCATCTAAAGCCCAATACTGCAGTAGTGTAGAAGCAGAAAAAAATAAAGACTAGTATTTTAACTAGTCTTTAACTATTTAATCTAACATAAGACGACACTGTTGATAGAATGCAGTGAAAAGAAAACCAGCTTTTTCCTAGCAGCTGGGATTTGGTGGAACCTTCTGCAACAAGGGACTGGGAACTCAGACCAACGTAGAGCAGAAAGAAGCAACTTAAGTGTAGGAGCATTTCTTATTCAGTCTTAAGGCAACACTTGCATATGCTCTTGAGAAAGCAGCCTCATTTACACATGAAAGGAAAGGGGGTAACTTGAGGATGAAATCTTACACTACGTGGATGGTTTCACCAACTATGGAGATGAAGTCCACACCACACTTCAAGCTCCTGCCCAGGCATAAAATGGCTGATGAAAGCACTTGGCATTCTGTGCACCTCAGTGATCTCTCCTTACAACCTACTCCTCTAGCTGAACAAGCTGAATCTCCTTTTTTTTGATGTGTGCTTTATATGATGGTTCAGCTTGAAAGCTGTTCTCTTTAATACATCCACCACCTACTAATCCACACCTACAATCTTAGATTGATGGCTTTCTACAAAGTGCAAAACAATTTATTTCCCTACAGAAGTAGTGTTATCTACTGTATTTATTTTACAATTAAACACAGTCATAAGTCAAAGGGATTCACCAGGAAAAAATTATTTTGCTCCCTTAATATCTTCATATATGCTGGTATAAATAAGGATTAAAAAAACAGAAAAAGGTAAAGAAAAAGCTTTTACTGAACAAAAAAAAGTTAGGTACAACCTTATAAACTCAGTTACTTCAAACAAAAGGTCATGTACCCTTCCTCCACATTTCACAAACACACTCACTTCTCAGTCCAACAGAATTCACAAAACTCTCATATAAAATATTCAGAGAGAAACCCTCTCCTGAAGAAGGTCTGGGCTACCAAGAACGCAACTTGTACTGCACAAACCCCACTGTAGCTACCTGTATGAACACATATAAGAGCATAGTGAAAAAGACAGCTTCACAAACATACAGAATTTGTTCGTTTTCTTTTCCAACAGTCAGGATTTAAACGTTTCTGCTCTTCTGCCAAGGCCTTGGCTTCTAGTGTGTACATCCTTCTTTCCTCATTTTTCATCTTCTTCCACCTGTCCCCGAGTATCACACTTATGGCTCTGCAAGATAAATGTTTACAGTGTGGTCAGGATGGTGCTAAGAAATACCCTGATTTTTTTCTTTTTTTATCTGAGAACTTTAAAGAAGACAGAAGTTAAATGGGGAAATAACACAGAAGGAAAAAATCAAGTGTATCTTAGCATTTTTAACAATCATGTTTCTGGTTATATTCTCATCGCTCCTTTAATAGTTAAACAGCTGAGACTTCTGTGTTAGCTGAGCATGGGTCAATGCACATTCTAACATTTCAAAGGGTGTACATTTGAATACGCAGCAACTGGCATAAACCAGCAAAATAGGGATGTTAAAAAAAACACCACCAAATGGTAACTCACATTTGTTTTGCTCTACTTTCATACTAAAAGATAATATGACAGATTTGCTGAAAATATGTTCTCTAATAATTAGGGCAATGAACTGAATATGACCTCAGCCAAACAAATATTTGATTAACTTCAAGCCCCCATGTCTATTTAATCAATATGTGTAGCTTCCTCCACCTTTAATCCATGCTGGGCAGAACACAATGGTAAGTTCCCATTCCTGTGCAAAGGGAACCGTTTGTTCTAACACATCTATCACCATTTCCAGAAGCTAAATTAATTCCTTTCCTACTCTCTCTAAACTCTAGGTCTTTTGAGAACATTTCCCTGTATTATCATGCCATATTGCTTAACTGCACTCCCAAATGTTGGATCAATATCCCATTAAAGCTTTAACTCCATCCTTCAGCTGAACAAAAATCTTTAAACAACAGCTCTTTTATCAATGACAATTACAAGCTAATGAGTAGTTTGAACACTTTGGCTTCAGATTACAGTGATGAGAGTTCTATGATGGGCTTTAACAAAAAGGTGGACACAACTAAGTCCTTTGCTTTCTACTATTAACAAGTTCCTTGCTGGCAGCAAAGCTATTCATAGACTTTCTAACTGACCAACCATTTCCATAACATGGCACATACAGCAATTCTGAAGGCTTTTCTGCACCACACCAAGAAAATGGATTTTGAATCCTGCAAGACCTTTTGGTACCATACAGACTTTCCCAGAGCACTCAGGGAGCACAGCCTGACCTGCACTGGGGCTGCCCTTCAGCCTGTGCTGTCACATGCTCTGGTGACTACTCAGAGCAAACTCCTCAAGCTGCCACCAGATCCCACCAACATCAAACCCATTTGCACAGCCTGTCTCTTTGGCGATGGAATTTCTGGTTTTAAATCCTAACTGAGAACCAGTATCTTTGGTCTGTCATCAGAAGCAAACAAACCCCAGTTTAATTAGCAGATTTTTCATGTTTTGACAGTGTCCAGAGGCAAATCAACAGAAACCTGTCTGCTTTGGGTCACCAGTTTGTACTGGGTCACTCACACCCCCAGGAAAGAACATGGTGACCCAGAGGAGGTTTGCTGAAAAAGCAAATCAAAATGCACTATGAAATCTTTGTATTTCGAATAAAAAATATTATTTTCTTCATCTTTAGAAGGTTCACTACTCAAATTATTCAAGGATTTCTGAATGCACAACTAAGTCCAACAACAGTTACAGTGAGAATATCTAGAAAATAAACAAGTGCAGCCCTAACACCAGTTTCTCAAACATGGTCTTACAGCCCTCAGTAGTTTTAAGTATCCCGTGACTCTTGACTCCTGCTTTGTTTACAGCTCTCTCTCTTCAAGCTCACATGGCTTGAGAGCTTCTTTGTCTCTGAACAGACCGTGTAACTCTGAATACCTCAAGTTCTGTCCTGTCTCACAGGGGTAAGAAAAATAAAGTAACTGTAACAAACATAACTCCAATGTATAAAAGTAGCTACTACATTGTAACATCTACTCAGTAATCTGAAAATGACACAAACTTACATTTTTTAAAAAAAGAGTCGTCTCTGAACAGCCAAATAAATGCCTCAGCAACACTTTAGCAACAGTAGCTAAATTTCTGCAACATCAATTATCCCTAACTCTGTGCTGTACTGTGTTTTATGGATGCCACGAAACTGCACCCAAATGCACTGCCTTCCAAACGGGGCAGTGAGCAGTGAATGCATTCTGAAGCTCACTTGTAACTTTGTCATCGCTTTCCTTCAAGGTAAACCTCCTCACTGAAATATTCAGCTTATTTTCACATCCATGCAGCTGCAGCTCCAGTTCACTGCATCCATTTGAAATCAGCATTCTCAATTAAATGTATAACCATCATAAACTTTCCTGGCTGATATTTGGTTCCATTTCTCACTGATAGTTGCAATGAATGTGAAGGCAGCAGATCTGCTTCACTGAACTTATTATAAATATTACAGAACATCATCACTTGGACACACAAGACTGGCTGGGATTTAAGGATGGGCTATTTATAAAGCACGATTTTATTTCTCAATAGCAGTTACAGCCTCCTTACTAGAACATTATAAAATAGCCAAAACCTCTTTCAAAGCACTGTCAACTTCAATTTTTTTACCAGATTTAGTATTAGAATTTTTATGTCACGATGCAAAGTTTTCATAACGTTACGTACATTAAAAAATCTAAGATCAGTGCATGTTCATGTGCTTTAGTTTCTACTTCCATATGCATAATTAGCACAAAATATTACTTAAAACATATGTACTAGAGATCTTTATAAAAAACATTTAGAAGCGAATGTACCTATAGATTAAGAACAGAAGAACAAACTAACAAAGACCCGTCCCCCAAACAGTCATGCAACTCTTCCTGCAAGTTTCAGCAGATTGCTGAATGCCTTTAGGACAAGCAAAATTTGGCAATGTACTGTCTGGATTAAGATCTTTCAGATACCCTAACAATCAGTACTCCATTATTCAAAAGGATATACAGACTGGAAATAAATACTTCTAACTTCATGAACAATTTCCAATATTATGTCAAGACATAATTAGAAGAACCAGAAATTCCCTTTTTTCCATTACAGCACACAAGCACAGCACTTCCTCACTCATCAGTGAAAACAAAGACTGTTCTGTATTTGTGACTCTGCTGATGCACATATATGCATGTATCTGTTGCTTTACCCAAATGCTTTCTCAGAAATTAAGTTTGCCAAAACTGGCTTGTATCAAGGTCACTGCATACTGTAAATATTTACAGCCCACCCCTAAATTACCCTTCATGTTAGCATCTTTCAAAACTTGTTCTTAAAACAATATACACACCTTGTATTTTAAATGCAAAATTTAGGCCATATAGGGAGAGAGATATTCTGCTAGCTCACCCATAATAGCAAAAGTACAGCCTATATCATTACCTGTTGTCTTTCCCTGGATACATCTGAGTGTATTCAACTCTGTATTTTTTGGCAAAAAGCATGAAGGCATTCATTGGTCTTTTGCACTTGTTTGGAGAAGTGGCACTCACAGTACTTGCAGTCCCTGAGCTGTGGCTTTTGCCAGCTTTGCTGTACAAAGGATTGGAGGAAAGATGTGACGATGCAGGGGAGGCACAGTTTTTATTACTGCATTCTGATCTCTCAGCATCCTGATTGTTTGATCCTCCACAGGACAGAGACGCGCGGCGCTGGCGGGCCATGCTGCTGAGCACATACACTGCAGAGGAGTCCATCGGTGTGAAATCGTAACTACAAGAAAAAGACATCATAAAGTGATCGAGTAATTTTCACGTAAAATCCCTAAAATACCTGTTCACTCTTCAACTGTACTACATTTCTAATATCCTGGTCTCTTTTGTGTGACATAAAGATTTGTGCTTGATGCAGATGTCAGTGTGAAAAACAAAAAACCACAACAAGAGTCTGGCAGATAAATTAGTATTTTCTTCAATGTGATGGCAGACTGCAACTTCACACGTTCTGCTGTGTACTTTCAACTCCCCAGCTGTGTATCAATTAGCTATACACTGTCTTCAAATTCCATCCTCTTTTGAAATACACTTCTTTCTTTCTGCTTCTGTCCTTACCATAAATCAAGCCTGGTCAGTGAATGACAGGTACTGAAAGGGACAAGTGATGTGGAAAGAATAAGCATTGAGTTCACTTGCATACACATATTAAGGACAGATATGAAAGCACTAAATTAAAATAAATTACATGCATTACTGTGCAAGTAACTTCTCTCGGCAGTTAAATACACACTGTGTGACACACGAACCTTCCACTGAGATAACACCACTTTTCAGAGCCCCGTGACGTCGCACCATTTGGTGCAGCGCTGACAAACGCCTGCCCTCTAGTGACAAAACCGCGACATTCCTCGGCATTTCAAGGTATTTGAACAGCTTTGAGGAGTTGTTTCCATAAAATTTAGACCTCCAAATACTCCAAACTCTTGCAATTTTTAGTTGACCGACAACTACAATTAACCTCTAAGCGCTACCGAAGAAGTTTAATTCTACAGACTATCTGTTACCATCTCCAGGTGTGCAGATACAGCCTAGGAAGCAAAGGCTATGCTGTCTTTAGCACACTATATGGATAAAACACACTTGGAAAGGTGCTACTCAATCATAAATCATTAAATTACCACCACAAAATAAACACAAAACGTACATATGCTAAGGCTCCACTCACACACTGCTCAATGTGGCTAATAATTGCATAATTTAAGGTCAAAATAAGGGCTCTGAAGAGCTTTTTTCTGAACACGAAGTAGAACTACTAGCAAGGAAATAACAGCATGTGGCAGTCCAGCCCCAATCTGCAAAGGTAGCTCCTTTTGTGGGGCAGAACCACAAGGAAGAGTGGAGCCTGAAGGGTTGCTTCTAACATAATGTGATAATGCTGACAACCTTGCAGGATATCACAAGATAAGGAGAAATGACCTTCCTGTTCTACAACAGTCCAGCACTCTTCCTATTCCTAATCTCCTTCCCTACTCCTCATCTCCTTCCCATAACACAGCAACAGGATTTTGTTTTTTAATTCTTCTGTCCTGTTAACCACGGCTGCTGTGCTGCTGCACACTTCCTTCTCAGTCACTTACTCCCTTCTGCCCAGAAAGAAAGGCAAGGAATTTGAAGTGTTCAGGCAGAACTCAGCTGGGCTGCAGGATTAGTAAGGAGCCAGAAGTCCAATTTCTTCAGTGAGATGTAGCTATAGTGATTCTAACAGCTCTCTATGTATGCAGTTCAGAACAGGAGTTAGTAAGAAGAAAAAAAAACCCAGACAGCAAAGGAGTGAAGCCAAGCAATCTGAACTTGCTCTCCATGCCAGACTGAAATGACACAAGAGCTCCCAGGGCCTGAACTGCAAACAGCATTTTAAATTCCTTTTCTTCTACTGTAAAAAAACCCAAAAAGCAACTGGACTAAAAACAGATGCTAAAAAGGTGCTAACATATAGGAGAAGGTGGATTCTACTAAACCTAGAAATCTCAAAATAGTATGGAAAAAAATCTTTAGTATTTCATTAGAATCTTAGAATCATTTATGTTGGACAGGACCTCTGAAGGTTATCTGGTTAAACTTCTAGCTCAGAAAAACCTCAAAGTTAATCAAACTTTGAAGTTAGGTAGGTTTGCTATAATACAAAAGAATCCCAAGAAAAAGAATACACAAAAATAGGAAGTAATTATGAAAGTACTGTATTCTAAAGCCATAGCACAAGCATTTATCACTAAGAAACTACTCAGATAATTAAGATACGTAGCTGCATAGGAAGCACAAGGTAACAGCTGGCAGACATATTACTATGGGAAAATTGTACTAGGTTTTTCAAACATAATTCACTTTACCTGAAGAATTTATACAAGTAATATATATATTTTTACTGTTCTATCTAATCTGTCTTAAAATATTACAAAAAGAGGCTGAAAAGTTATTTCATTCCGAAGTACTACTTTGCAGTTTAGCAGAGCACATAATTACACAGCTTTTCTAGTCCTGAGTATTCATTTTTCCCTATCATTTATCTTATATTACCAAAACTATTCTCTCTTTGCTCTATATAATGCTTCAAATTCTTCTAGACTTAAGGTGCCTACTCATTAAATACAAGAACCACTGAGGCCACTTTATCCAAAAATTACCTTTTAAATGTATCAAAAACACCTGAATCATCAAAGTTAATGGCATCAGGGTGTCCAGGAGGTAGACACAGATCTCCAAGATGCATTTCACAGCATGGAATGCCATGCTGTACCACAGTCAAGCTTGGATAAAAAGATGACCAACCTGAAGTGGTAAAGAGTTAAATTAGACAAACGGCCAGACAATCTCTCCGGTTCTTCATTGGAGCAATCTGACATCTCTAAATTACATAATTTTATAAAAATGTTCTGATGTAGTTTCTTTCACCCAAAAGAAAAATCAGAAACACTTAATTACGGAATTCTTACTGCAAACAGTTCATTTTTATCTCAAATAAAATCTCATTCTAGCAAAAAAGTAATCAAAACCTGGAAACTTTTACCATCATAAGTTCCATGTCTAGCAAGTGAGAGAAGCCTCTTATTTGCGGCTCTTTCTCCCCCACCCCCCCCCAGTTTTTCTGTTTTCCTGAGCTCCATTTATATATTTGATCAAATCTTCCCTTAAGATATAAGCAGTCTTCCTGTACCTTTATGGCTTTAGTTTTGTTTGTTCAAATTCTGGATTTCTTTACAAAGAGAGTAAATTGTTTCTACACCACAACTTTCTATCAATTTCTTGAACAATACAGGATGCCAATAAAATCTGTAATCACTTTCTGATATAAAACCAACTGTACTTGTAGTATTTCATACCTTTATTTTTAACATAAAATGGATGGTCGAGTCTGCATTCTACGGTAAGCAAGCCATCCTCCACTGTGCCAGGATCAAAAGTCAGCTTCAGCACTGACTCACCACAGGAAATACTTTCTTCGTGAGAAATCAACTTTAGACCATTGGAACCATAGTCCTGTAAACACACACACAGTTCAAAAAACTTCCCCCCAGAAAAGCCTATACCTGTGTATACTACAGGTGTATACTCATCATCATACACTGTACCACCAACATTTTAATTAGTATTTCTATCTTGCTGGTAAAGATGATGTAACATTCAAAACATACCTAAATGAATTAAATTCGAGTACGTTATAGTAAGATACTCGAATAGCTCTAGACATCTTAAATGTCAACCTGTATTCCTGAGATGGTAATTAAAGGCACAGGGATAATATAAGAATCGCTAAATATTTGCTACAGGTATTGAAATAAATTTATTAGAACTAATGGCTACCTTGTAAGGGCTCACTGGGAGATCTTCCTCTTTTCC